TAACAACATTTGAAGCTGAATTATTTCTCTTGGAGTCTTCAGAAAATGGCAAGGATGAAAAAATGGAACTAGAAGGTGGAGGCGGTGGTGGGCCCGGCGGAGGTTATGGTGGCGGAGGGTACGGTGGTGGAGGATATGGTGGTGGAGGAAAAGGCGGTGGAGGTTACGGTGGTGGAGGTTATGGTGGCGGAGGGCATGGAGGTGGAGGATACGGTGGTGGAGGCAAAGGCGGTGGAGGATACGGTGGTGGAGGTTATGGTGGCAGCGGGCAAGGCGGAGGATATGGCGGAGGATACGGCGGAGGCGGCAAAGGTGGTGGTGGAGGATATGGTGGCGGCGGGCAAGGCGGAGGATACGGTGGTGGCGGCAAAGGTGGCGGAGGATACGGCGGTGGCGGCAAAGGTGGCGGAGGATACGGTGGTGGTGGCAAAGGTGGCGGAGGATACGGTGGCGGCGGAGGGGGACCCGAAGCAACAAATAATTAGTTTTACGAAATGAGATCATGTATGAATAAGTGTAGCAGTAATATGGAATAAAAAGATACATGATTCGTATTATATATAATGTGTAACTAGATACAAACAAGTATATGCACCTAGCTAGGTGGTCTTTATATATAGGAAAGACCTACTTGTAATGTGTGTAATGTAGGAGTTGTGAGGCTTTCCAATGCCCACATTTGTGTTTGATGATATTATATTGCATACGTGATTAATAATTTGGTGCAAGTTGGTATTCTATTCGCAAAAAGAGTTCTTTGTCTGATCTCAATGTTGGATTTAATACAAGGTTTTGAAAGTCGAACCGCATGAAACGTATGCTTGCATATTCGTCCATAGGTCAAATCTCGTGGTTTATTTTCGAGTAATAATTTTGGGAATCCCATAAAGATTGATGAAGCTATCGGTTTAAGAATAAATATAACTTTTATTTATTTTTATATGTATAATGTATATAATTATATAATTACTGATCAAACCTCGAACCGATTTAAGAATAAATATAATTTTTATTTATTTTATATGTATGATGTATATAATTATATATATTTTTATCTTTAATTTTATTAATTTTATAGTGTATAATGACATATATCTAAATAAGATTTCATAATAGTGTATTTTTGAAAAGTAAATGAAAAATAAAAAAGAAATTATATTTGTAAATTTATATAAAACTATAAATAATTTTGACAGAAAATAAAACTCAAAAGATATTATAATGCAAATTCATATAAATTTTGTATATTATCATTTTGGATTATAATAAGCATTGCATAGTTAAAAACATCAAATATGAATTATACACAAAAATATTCGGTTGTAATCATCATACATATTTTCTCATATAATTTCAGAGAAATAATTTCTTTGCTGATCGACAAAATCGATGTCATGCTTTTTACGCATACTGCTTCATTTCGATCTCTTCATATCATATATTGTTAAAATGCACCATAATTGTATTGTAATCCCTCAATTAAATCGCCTTAAACACATTTTTCGTAAACACTGACGACTCACCGTCAACAATCATCACATCGTTGAAAACCTAGCTTAAAGTGGCCAAACTCGGTCTAATGAGAGTCTTCAATGGTTATTCAATGCATTTTGTTAGTTTTTCTATGAAAGTTTAATTCCATTGGAGTTTAGAACACATCTTTTGTAAGTGTTTATCAGAGCTTGGGACGAGCATTCTTATTGCTTAGAGGGATCTATAGATGTTTGTACCATTTTTGTTGCATTTTCGTTATATTTTTTGTTCTTCTTTTCCCCTCATTTTTCCTCGTTTTATGTCATTTCGTGAGTTTTTAGTTCGTTTTGTGTTTTA